AGCATATCAGGTGACAGGGGAAGGCTGAGAAATGATTGAGTCTGCTGCACATGGGAATAACGAGCACACCAATCAATTCCACTCTGTATCAGAAAAAGAATCTCGCCTTCACCAGCCAAGCGTTACAGAGTGAAATACTAACCAACAAGCTGAATTAGTCAAATTAGACAAATTATCGGTGAGCTTGTTCAGACAATTAAACATTTCCAGCAAAGAATGTGTAAAATTGGCATTGCATGCAATTGCTAACAGGAAATGTATTGTTTCACCAATTGAATACCAGTTGGTGGAAACAAATATTCTATGGGCTCTGCAGAAAGTGAAATCCAAGCCTGCTTAATGCTTATAATAAACAGTGGTGCCGTCATTAATAGTCTTAGCAGGCAAGCCTGAAAGTAAGCATCACAAGGGCTCCATTGACCAAAAGCCAGTGGCAAACACACATTCATGGTACCTTCAGATAGTGTCCACATATTAACACCACTATTATAATTGTGAAGCGTAAATGCAATTTTATGATGTAAACATAAGCAAACGTAGGCATGACTTCATAGGCGGACTCAGGTTCGGCGTGATGGCGTTTATTAATCCAATTTGGTCACTTGTTAGCAACTGCCTGTTTTTAACTTGGAATCAACTCAAAATTGTCTTCAGTACAAGGGAGTCCTAAAGTGCTATAATGCTAACTAATTCCTCATTGTTAGGACTCTAATGTTTTCAATCTAAGGGACCCGAGACACCTTTCCACCAATGACCTCCCCTCTGCTGTTGGTCATGCTGCCTAACATCACAGCAAACCGCCATGTGTCAGCTGACTGTCTTTCACTTCTCCAACCGGAGCCCCGTTCAGATCTAAGGAGAGCTCTGAAATGAGCGAGTACCGCTGGCTCTTTGTGTGATGCGACTGTTGATACACAGTTGGCTGCAAGGTAAGGAGAGTCTCCAGGGGATGGATGCCAAAATGATGTGAGACCAACCCTATTTTTAATCTTTTCAGCAGTATGCGCCTGGCATAGCTGATTAAGTGTTTCCAGTGAGGGGGAATGATGTCAAAGATAATGCATCTTTTAACAGGAGCTGGAAAACACACACTCTGTTTGATGAATACAAATGTATGATGACACAGCAGCTTTACAATGAGGAGCCTATGAATACACTTCAGAGATTTGTCAGAGAGACAGGCGTGTGGAGAAGTGGTTCAATAGGGTTTTAATCAAAAATCCCATTACAAATATATATTTTTATTCTGGAACCTTCCAACTAAAGTGAAATGAATTGCTTGTTTTCCAGACATAACACAGACATCAATATCCAGTCTACAGACGTTTATAGTCAGGCATTTACTGAGAGATCAATGAATCCAGGTATGTTTCAAAGCTGCTACCTGAACCCTAGAGGAACTCGTATTATTCTTCTAAAATGTTGGATGCCAATTTGTTCACTAACTCTTCCTATCATCGCTCACAGTGCCTCTTCTCTCATCATCGAATAGGACTGCAGCATTTTACAGTCAAGGATTACAAGCATGCAGCAGGAAAGATGTATGAGCAACTGCTCCGGTGATTGATTATGGTCAACTCCATTTTGCAGGTGAGGTACAAATGCAAGGACAGAACTATTAATATTTATAGAAGAGATTTGTGAAAGGAGAAATTAAGAGACTATCACAAGTTTGAGAAATGCATGAGTCTGAGCTGGAACCCAGAAGACGGAAACAAACTTTGCGTTTCAGGTGTTTTGAGTGTAATGAGTTTCTCAAGGAGGAGTAAATGAGCCTTGAAAGGTAAACTCCTTGCCATCGAAAACGATGCTTCTCTTCTGCTGGTGGGGAAGATGGAGAGAGTTGTCAAAGGACAGACATTGTTAAAAGTTGCTTGATTGATGCCCACGTCTGCAACGAGAGGGTCGGACAGTGCATCGTGACACCCCCAACAGGGTGACTCATGAACTCAGTACAGGCAGAGGGAAACTGTAAACACACCAGTGTTTCTTCTAGATGTACTGCTTTGAAACGGCAGATGGGCTTACACAAATGAAACACTTCAACGTTTTTTTAAATATATTCAGAGGTAATTAATGTATTTATTAAAAACAATTCTCATGAAGAAACAATAATGGATTTGTCCTGATAAAAATCAATTGCATTTACTGTGTTAAAATGCTTTATCAATGAACAGTATGTTCCATATTAGTACAACAAGTTCTGGGTAAACATAAACTATTTATAATCGGACTCTGGGAATACTTCTCTACGTCTTCAGTCACTTCAAGGAAATTGTTGTTGAAAGATAAAATAGCAACCAACCAACCAACTGTGACTGTTGCAACAAAGTGGAAGTGGAAACATTCTTGATGGTGAGCCCAGATGAGCTCAGAGAGCAAACACACTTTGAAAAGTGACTCTGTTCCTGCAGTTACAGAAAGAAAGGACAGAATTATAATGATGTAATGTATATGTGTGCCGTGGTGGAGTCTCTTTCACCAGCTTCAGACACAAAGAGAAAGCAAAAGAGACGAGGAGTGACCCACTCAGCCGTGAACATTTGAATTGCAGGGCTGGGCACTAGCTGACAGTTATTGAGTTTAGAAAGGGGTTAAGAATCCAACGGGATTTACACATCTAGACAGAAACCAAGAGGGAGCCAGAGGTTTTCTCCAAACTCAATAAATCACCTGACTGGGATACCCACAATGTGTGGCAGGTGTTTGGGTGGTGTGAGGTTCAGAGACAAAGAAGTGAGATTCAAACTTGTCTGTGGAACAAACATCCATTTGTTAAAACAAAATGAAATGTTATCTCAAAAGCAGTGAGGTTCAGAGAAAAAGAAGGAAATCAACAGCTCTGTTCAAAACATCCCTGTGAAAGTCTAGTAAAGGTCTAAGAGGGAAATACAGGAAGAGAGTATGGTAATGTGTTTTACATAACAAAGTTAACATCTAAATCACACAGCACCCAAAGGCTTGCAAATGTCATAATTCTGTGTTCGCCTGTGTGCATCGGTGCCTGTTCTAATCCCTCCAACTCCCACACTTCCAACAGAAGCAGGAAATGCTCATCCACGAGCCTTAATAAAGATCTCGGTATGGATATTTAAACTGAGCATAAATACACCACAGAGAGGGAATTCTCTGCCATTATTGCACTTCAGCAAATAGATTTTCACTTTATGAGGCCTATAATAGACACAAACCCACATTTTACAAAGCGGTGTCTCAATTTTAGTGCTGGATGGACACCACTCAGGAATCTGGGTCCATCAGCAAACCAGCAAGATCATTGCTCCCCAAAATGAGACGGGAAGTATTGGTGCATTTGTTCCGTCTTCTGTCTCATAAAAGCAAGCTTAAGACCAGAGTTACCCTCAAACTGCAGCCAACAAGGTCAATTTTTGTGATAAGACTAAACTCCTTTCATGGTCTCCGAATCGCCAGTAAGAGTTGTAATGTTCAACATCCAGATTACTTAATAAGGTGAAACATTGGAGTCTAGACTAGATCTTGAAGGTTGTTTTCTTTGTACCTGATGATATAGATTTTATTTAAGAGTTATTTAAGGACACTTAGGGGTAAATACCTTTAGGTTTGTGTGTGTAAAGGGTTTATAATTGGCCAAAAAAAGGATGATACTTTTTTAAAGGAATTGGACAGGCTTAGCTGAAATGGTTCTGCCTTGTCTGCCTTCTATAATCCGTTCGGCCTTGAAATGTGACTCGAGAGGATGCCGCTTTGAATTGAAATGCAGCATATATAGATAAGTCAACAGTAGGGTTATTTAAACCCAAGAGGCAGAATTGATACAATTTCATTCCTGCGATATAACAATATTGAGCTCTTCACACTCACATTGAGCCGGACAGACCAATCAGAGAAGTAGACCAATCAGAGAAGTGGGCTAATCTGCTCTGAGATCAGAGTGTGCTGCCTGAACAAACTCAAGGTCGATGGCTTTCCAACGGTCCAGAAACAGTATTGATCCCATATTTAACACAGAGATGTCGTCTTGTCCGGCATCGATCCTCCGGTCTCGCAGGCAGGATATATTACTAAACAAAGAGACATACAATTGTGCTCTTTCGCTGTCGCTGGCACATTTATCATAGTTCACTAGTGCTTGGGGAGGACCGCAATCAAACATTGCTGGTGAGGAGGGGAAGACAACATTAGCATGATGACATGCTGCCCGGATTCATGCCTCACATCCAAAACAGGGCCTTAACTATTCAAGAATCATTAAGAACAGAGGCCTAAGAACAATGCAGGGGAAGATTGCATATGTTACTGTCCAGACCTACAACCGTGTGTTATAGAAGAAGGTGAATTGTAAGGTTCAAAGATTGCAAACTTTCCAAGAAACTGCAAACTCACTCTTCCTTGAGTAATGTAAGACCACTGGACTGTAATTAAATGGGCATGAACATGCTTTTAAAATAATGATTATGACTTCTCTGTGAGCGTGACATTCATCTAAAATGCATTGGTGCAATGTGGCACCTGATACATTGGTTACACTATCATTTTGAAAGACCTATTGTACCAAAGATGAACTTTTCGGAGTTTTGTTCAAGTGAAAATTGGCAGAATTCTTTTGGACAACCACTTTCAGTCATTATTCTCAACATGACTTCTTTTTTTTTTTTTCTCTAAAATGATCTCCAATTATTTCAACAAGTGTTTCCTCTGCCCTGTCTGCACATTCCTATTTAAATTCCACTAGTTCAAATGATGACACATCACTTTGTGTGATGATTAGTTCTCGGAGAAGCTTAGAAAAACAAATATAGGTGAATTTAACGTCATTATAGCTTCAGTAAAAAAGGGTCCAATCCCCAGGTCTACAATACCAAACATAGAAGGGATTAATCAAGGAGTGAGTGCGATAAAATGGCCTTTATATTGACAGACTGCTTTCGAGGGAATAGTGATTTTCTGGAGTTATGTCTCTTCTCAAGGCCAAGTCAATGTCAATCGACTAATACAATTTATAGTCTTCTCACTCAAGCTTAAGAGGAAGACGAGTCTAACAGATCAAGTTCAATTAAAACATCATATACAGTTCTCGCTGTGAAAGTACTTGAGGTCCTTTAAATGCTTTCTCAGTAGCTATATCATAAGAACTTAATCCCTAAAGTTTGGAGGGTAAAGTGCTTCTCAATGTACTACACTGACTAAATTAATTGCACAAGGCAGCTTTAAGCATAGCATATGGGGAAGGATACATGCTTGAACAAATGTAACCTTTGCCTCCAGAAATCCTTTGACTTTAAATCTATGAAGCGCAGTCTGCATACTTTGTAGGCATGTACTTCCTATTTAACGGGAAGGAGAGATTATTGAATAAAGTAAGACAGGTGCGCTTTATATATCCAAATCTTTCATAGTGCAGCTCTAAACACATGACATCAACAAGGTCACATCTGGTCCGTCTCTCTGATTGTCTAAAGTATGAAAGAAACCTTCCTACCAGTCTGCCACCAGTGATCCAGGACAGGAACCCCAAAGCTCCTCTTTGCCCATTCCAGCGTCTCCACATCACAACGTTCTCCAGCCAGAAATAACGACCGCAGCCTGCAAGGACACAGAGTACATCTGTCAATCACCTTGAGGGAACATGACATATGTACACTCTCAGAGGAAATGGTAAGAAAAAAAGATATTCGCAGTTGCAGGCTAGTTTTTGGAGTTTTAGACCAAGTGTCATTATTCAGAAAACTTTAGAGTAAAAAAGTTCAACAGACAAAAATGGGATGCATAAACTTTTTGGGAAATTATTATTTTTTGACTGAAAATCGGAATTTGTGTTTAAGGGCTGACAACAAATCATCATACGATCAGATCTGTTTCGTAACCTAAAATGTACATCTTCACTTGAGTCTCTTGAATGCAACTTGGAGCTCGTGCAATATCTATTAATGTAAATATGTTTTGAACACAACTAGTTTACCTTTAAGGCAGCAACCACCACTTCCTTTTCCCTATGATTCTCACCACCTTTCATGACTAAAATATGTTTGCGTTCTGCCTGTGAGGGCCGGCCTCCTCACAGTTACACTAACATTAGAGGTGAGCATCATTAACACCGGATCCTCCATAAGCTCGGCCATTCGACTTTTGCTTTGAATGTCAGAAAACACAACATTGAAACTTTTTTTTACCTATGAAACATTCCTGCATTTCAACGTGCATTTAAAGTGGGATGATCATCTCCGAGGAAACAATCTTGCTGGGAATAAGCTGCCCATTCTCCCTACAAAGATGTAGCCCTCTGTATGACATCTCAGTCAGTATTGATGTGACCCTGAATCATGGAGTAGCAGGAATCCACAAGTTCTTGCAATGACATCTAAATCTTTCCCAATTATCCCTCCATCACTGCTCCCTCCTAGTTCAAGCTTAACTTTCCTCCTAGTTTGGATTTGTACTTTTCCCTGGCTTCAAGAAACCTTCTCCCTACCCTGTAAGTGACCCAACACACTGCAGTTTCTACCTTAACCCTCCACTGAATTCCATATCATTCTTCTCTGCTAACCCTCCTCCTACAGCTCATATCTTATTCCCGACACCGCTCTTTGCTCCCTGCTAAGCTCTGAAGAGATCTGTAACCTGGTGCCTTGCCAGTACCGACGCTTAATTTTCACACAAATGACTGCTGGTCATCGTTCTCAACTCTACGCAGGGCCGAAATGGCTTTCCAACTCCAATCAAAATTGAAGTCGCATTCTATCTTCTAGAACAGGAAAAAAAAAAAGTCATTATGTCACTCTCTCCCAGCTGAATCCTACATGTTCTCCTCCTACTGGCTCTGTGCATTATATTCTTTAAAGTTGGTCTCAGGAATATTATGAAGACTGTTTCCTCTGTGATTGCAGAACAATCAGAGAAATGTCGTTAGTAAGCTAATTAAATCATATAAATTCCGCCTACCATCCAGATGTTGAAAGATGCCTGGGGGCCTTCTATCAGTTTTATTGCAAATAACACTATTCCCATGATTAATGGGGGAATTTTCTCCACTTTGTTTGATAAGTTCTAAAGGGTTCTGCATGTTAAAACATATTGTCATTTCATAAAGATAAAAGAGGACAAAGCAAGTAACTATGGGCTTTAAATGTATGTTTTTGTCTTACAATATGCCAATTTAGAAACAGTAGAAACCCATATTTGAGCTTTTTGAAGGTATCATGATGTATCAGACATTTTAATTGTATAGTCATTTAATTTAAGATTTTAAAGAAGAGATAACTGACACCCAAACTCATCACGTTATCTGAATGAATAGCTATGGCTGTTTTTATTCGATGAATTATGTTAGCTTTTATTTCTTTCATAGGGGTTTTATATGACCCTGTGAAGTGGAAACACAGGGCTTTGACCTTGTATTTGTGTTGATTACCAACTTTAATATTGAGAGGTTCATAAAAACAGCTTAAAGGATAGAGATTTAGGTTTATGCCTAGACTGTTCTATTATGAAAGAATTCCATTACAGACCATAATGAGCTGTCAGACAGATAATGCCCTGCAGGAACTGAGCTACAGAACATGGGAAAGATGATTGATTGATTGATTGAGCTACAGAACATGGGAAAGATGATTGATTGATTGATTGATGCACTGCCCTGGCAGCGACCCTATGTTCCAGCTGAGCCCACTGCCATGCTTTAGTTATCCAAGCACAATTCAGATTCTGTATGTTTTCAATGTTTTCTAAAGAGTTCAATGGAAGTACAAGTTTGAAAGATTCACAGAAACTCTGGCTGTTTCTCAATGTCGAGTATACCTGCTGCAGAGCCACTATTTCAAGTATACTACGTCATCGAATGCTCGGCATTTAACATGCATGTAAACAATCCTTCGGCGCCACTCGATGACATAGTATACTTGAAATAGTGGTTCTGCAGCAGGTTTACTCGACATCGAGAAACGGCCACTGTGACCTCAGAGATGGTGTTGGGAGGGCGATCGTTTGGCTGCTGACCAAGTTCATGGAGTGTGAGTCAGTCATAGCCAGTGTAAACATCAGTGTTTACAAAGATCTTCAGAAAATCTTTCATTCCCTTTCTCAAGTCTTTCTTTAAAAGGAAAAAAAAGAGGGTTAATACGCAAATCATTAATGATGTTGATGTTTCACCGCATAAAGCTACAAACATATTTGTTATGCCTCAACAGCTTGCTAGTTGTTTGCAATTTTGTTGAAAAAATACCTTCCCCCATCTTATATTTGGATTTCACTGCCTAACACACTGTGTCCACTGATTAAATGTAGGGACATAATTACCTACAATTTAAGCACCATCTGTTTCAAAATAAACTTCCTCACATGCATACAGTTTGAGGGTGAATACACACTTCATTTGTCCACATTTAAACCAAGAAATGCACCACCTGTTACTAAAAATGTATTGATGTAGTGCTGTAAAAAGAATAGATGCTAAAAGCAAATATTATTTGTCTTTCATGATAATAGAGGCTACAGTACAACATGTTAACCATTAATAACTATTCTATGATAGTTTGTAAAGATAAGACCACCACAATCCCTACAATATAACCTTGGAGTAGGCCAATAAAGAAGAAAAACAAATATTCTAAGTGGCAAAGGTTATCCACGTGGTAACCTTGTGTCACATGTTTTAGGTCTACAAATTGCTAATATGCTTGAAGCTGATTATGTGAGCTTAGTGTGGCAAAGGTGAAGTAGGAAAGGAGAGATGTTCATTAGTCTATTCTAGTCTGAGTGGCTTAACAAGAATGCAGGTATTGTTTCCCTTCAAATGTAATTTATATTTCTCTAAAGTAAGAGTTAGTTTGTTTGTTCCACCGTACGCCATTCATGCTATATGGGGAAAGCTACTTTAAGCTTTATTATTGAGCTGTTAGTTATGTTTTAAGGCTGTTTTTTTAATGGACTCTTAGCTAAATGAAATAAAACATCTTGTACATTGCCACTTTAAAAGAGAATCAAGTTGCAGACATCACCATCTTTAACAGCACCAGCTTTTAGTAGGCACCAAAAAGCATTTTTGAGTGGAGTCTTGCCATTTGTCCCCTGTTTATGACTAAGGCATTTGTTCGACTTAAAAGCGCTACTGACAGAGTGTTTCCCTCTTTTGTCATGCTACATTTATGCAGAGAGCTGCTGCCTTCACAACTTTAGACAGCCTTGAAGCCAGACTCTCATTGAAGTTTTCACATCGAGGGTGACGAGCAATACGGCTCCATAACATTGATAAGAGTCCACTGCCATTACTGTGGAGCGGAGTCCGGAGGGAGGGGATATCTTAAATTGTCAATAAACCGCAGACAGTGTATTTGATCTGTAGTCAATTATTATTTGTCCTCTCTAGCATGAAATTATGTGTTTGATAATAAATTCCATCAGCACACTTTTAATTAAAAGAACCACTATTGGTATTGACATATCTTTCCATGTGTTATAGGAAGTGGACAAAATGCACCGACTAGAAGTGGATTCATTTGGTAATATTGCAAAAACACTAGCACATTAAACTTTCATTACATTTTCATGAACTCCTACACAACACAAACCCTTTAAATACCTCTGACATTCAGAGATTCAAAATGTTGCATCTTTGCAGCAGAGAAATATTTTTGGAGCTTTGAAATTGAAAGAACATTTCATGTGTCTCAAAACATAGCTGTCCTGCCATGAAATGAAATCATGTTTTATTGCCTCCTTTGTGTTGCTGCCTCTGTGTCATAGTGACATGTTTTGTTCAGCGCCGAAGGGAAATACAGTAATCTTTCACCAACTTGCCTCCTCCAAGGGGAAAGGACACATTAGGATTAAGAAAGAGTACACAGAGACAGCATAGGACTGATTGTTGTAGGGTCAGAACAATATTCTCTACAAATATTGCAGAAAAGAATCCGTCTGCAAATACCGCCTTTTAGAAGGTGCTATGTATTCAGGACAGCAGAACATTTATATATCGTCAAATTCGGCACACAATGCCAGAGTTACTGAATGATTCACCGGGGCCAGAGGTCACCTGCACTCAGAATTGCTTTATGATTGTGTGCTTAAAGGTATTTTCAGACTGCAGAGCAGAATGAAAGTGGTGAGTTGACACCACAACCCCTTAGGTCCAAGTTTTGAATTAACAATACTGATCATTTGGACATTTTTTTGTCACTCTCTAGGCCAAACCAATAACATGAGAACCTGTTTTTTTTTTTAACTCTAAGCGACAGAAGAACTTTACATTAAGACAGCAGCCAGGGAAACAAGTTCTCACAGTATGATTTAATACAGGTGAGCAGCAGTGACCTGCCATTGTTTGCTATCCATCCTGATTAACACCCAAGTGAGTTGAGCTGAAGGTACAGACGGTGATCAATGGAGGTGCATCAACAGATGGCCGGAGACTAACGACAGGCTGGACAGAAGGTGCACAACACCCTCAGCCAGGAGATATCACACGTTTCTAGTTCAGCACACAATCTGCAGTTGAAGGTTAGGGCCAATACCCACTGACTTTATTAGAGCAACTAATAGGGACTTAGTTTTGTATTTCAGACTATAAATCAGTCAATTGTCGTGATGGAAGCATGGATCACAGTGTAAAAGGCTAAAAATGCTAGAAATGTATGTGTACTCTATGCGTCACCCAAAGCCAAATTGAAAGCAAAGTATCTGCAAAGTTTAGCAAAAAAAACGGATGCAAAGTATATTTTAAGAGATTTTCAAATGAAGACCTTTAAAAAAACGACATTTGACTTGTTACCTGAATTTGTTTTTGATGGTCTATAGACTTTTATGTGGGCTTCTTTGACATTGGATTGTTCAATGGCTGGGGTTTTTATTACTGTAAGATGAATGTATCATTTAGTCAACACAATGTTGAAAAATAGCCATTAATAGCCATCAAAAATGTCCAAAGCCCACTGCAGCCTTTCCCAAGTTGCTTTGCTTGATTTAGGAAATTACAACCACAAAATGTTTTCACCTTTAAGATACTGAAACCAATATTGCTTTTAAAGGTTGATTAATTATTATCAATCATCAGAATAGTTTATTATATTCATGAATCAACCTTTTATTTTAGCTCAATGGTACAATGTAAAATGTACTTATTCCCGGAATGAATCATTTATTAGATTAAGTGCACATTTAATAGCTGATTTTGATCAATTCTGTTGAGTAAAGTGTTGCTGTGTACCTAGATAGGGGGTATTTTTTCCCAATTGCAGCATCAGGGTCCTGCTGGCGGATGGCTCGGATGGCAGTGGGGGCTGTGAACATGGACGAGGCTCCATGTTCAGATAAAACCCGGAAGAAGGCGCCAGGGTCTGGAGTCCCCACAGGCTTACCCTGGGAAACACACAGTGTGTCAGACAACAGATGCTTAGTACACACACAGTAACAAGGATGCAGGTGAACAAATCTCATCAATACACAATCCAATTCACAAAGAGTGGTAAGGTAAATGTGAAATACAAATACAATACAATCAATCAATCAATCAATTAATGTTTATTTATATAGCCCAATATCACAAATGTTACATTTGTCTCAGTGGACTTCACAGTTTGTACAGAATATCAGTATGACAATACGACACCCTCTGTCCTTAGACCCTCACATCGTACAAGGAAAAACTTCCAGAGAAAACCCAAAGTTTAAAGGGGGAAATGGGAGAAACCTCAGGGAGAGCAACAGAGGAGGGATCCCTCTCCCAGGACGGACAGACGTGCAATAGATGCCGTGTGTAAATTGAAAAGATAATACATTTGCAACATAGGTAAAATAAAATAAGATATAGGTCAGAGGAGGAAGAAAGGTTGATATGGAGGTTTAAAATTCACTTCAACTGTGAACTACAAACCATGAGTTGTCATAGAGCAGCTGTTTAAGTTGGAGAGGCTTATTGGAAGGCTGCCATCCAGACAGATGGGCCCAGAAATCCATGGATTACAAAAAACAGAGTTGCACTATGGGAGAATTGTTTGTCAAGAAGGAAAAGACAAAAGACGCCTCCAGGCAAAAGCCTCCACCAGCCATTTCCACTGTGTCTCTTGTATTCAACTAGTCTGTGAGAAGACTACTGCAGATTAATGAGGGTGGTAAACAGCAGCATCGAGTTCTGGGTGTCATTTCTGCTGTGAATACATATTTGTGCATGTGTATTGATTTGAGGAAGACAAAAGGTTGGCAGCATCACGCCTGAAGAGACGGGCTGTTAGCACACACGCTAACACAAGACTAACACCGAGGCTGGAGTCAAACATTTATTTAAGGAAGGCTGAGTAATTAGTGGCACAGCAGTTCTGCTTCGTGCATGTGAGGGAAAGTCTCAGTGATAATGTAATGAATGTCCCCCAGCATAAGAAACAAACACTGGGAGACTTACACGGTAAGAGACAGACACACATCCCTCTGAGCACTGGTCTACAGATTGTGATGCTAATAACCCTTTATATAATAATAAGGAGCCTGCAGAGAATATACTCCACTAGCCAGGGGTTATGGGACTCACAAAGAAAAGCCAAATCAGATGCATCAGTATCAAATGGCTCTTCAAAAAACAGTCATGCAGAAAATATTTCGTGAAGAGCTTTTTTATTTATTTACTATTTATATTTTTGAAGGTCTGCTGCATGTGCTCAGCGGAGAGGCTGTTTCCTCCAGGTTTCAACCATTATGTTGAATGACCATTTAGCTGAAATATTATATACAGCATAACCTCCAACATTATTGTTTCTTATAAAATAGAAAAACTTTAAAAGTTAAAAGGGAATTGAAGGTTGAATTTGTTGTATTTGCCGTATGATGGAGGTTGTTTGCAGGTTCCTTAGTATGGGTACTATTGTGCCGTACAATTTAGATATGTTATGAAACTCATTAAGCTAAACAACAGATTGCTGCAGGAATGAGTCCTAAAACTTTAGGACTAGGAAATGACTTATTGCTCTTTTTTCCCATATCTTGAAGTCAATCGATGTATGAATAAGTATCTTAAACTTCTGCTCAGCACAGAGCTTATTTTCCTCAGAAGTCCAATAGTAACAATTGTGTAGGCTTTTTATTGAGGGAACCAAGGCAATATCCGTATTGACATAAAAACATTTGTCATCCCTGCAGCACACATACTGCTTCTACACTACCACAAAATAATTAATTCAATACAGATGCTTTAAACATAATGTTATTCCAACAGATGTATTCTGCAAGCTTAAATGTCTTTTAACACCAGTGTGGGGGTGTATCAACTGCAGAGGCTGGTGACACTTGAAACATTGACTGGCATTGGTGAGGAAAAAAAGGAAAGTAGAAAAAGGAGTGAAGCTGCAGTCTGTCTCTTGGCAGTAGACTGTAGCAGCCAGAGTCAAACAGGGTAACACAGAGTCCCAGTCCACTTAGACTTGAGTTGTTGACCAAATATGGACGTATTCAGCTTGCAGAGTCCACAAACGCAGATACCAAGCAGACATTCAAATCGGACAGCTTTTTAAGTTGTACAAATCAGGGTTTTAATATACTTTCTCTAGTGTTAAATGTTTGCAATACTGCTGTTGTGAGTGGTAGATATTAAAACGTGTCTACAGGGACATACCTCATAGAGAATTGTGCTGTTACCATGGAGCAGAGGACCATAGCAGATGTAGGAATGTCCGACCACCCAGCCCAGGTCTGACGCTGCCCACCAAACCTGCAACAAGAACAAAAAAAGATGAAAAATGTATAGAGACTCAGAGTATCAGTTTGTCAAACACCAGAATTGAGTATTGTCCGAAAGATTATTTTAACTCTTTCAATTCCTTTTCTGCCAACAATGATAACACTAGCAGTACTCGAAGACACTATACATGGAAATCAAACTACCTCCAATACTGAAGACTGTTCAGCTACCATACATTTTACCTGATCTTCTCTCTAATAAAGAACAATATATCTGTTAACTGACTGCATGCTTTGTGCTTAAACATGACTCTAACTCAGAAGAGGATGCAATGCTATTGCCTTACGTCTCCAGAACTGAGTCCATAAATATTTGACATGGTCCATTTCAGCATCACAGCATAGCCTGCAGTGTCTCGCACAACACCCTGGGGGACAAGATAAGAAAAAACATCAGACTAGTGACAGGTATTGCATTTGGCTGACTCAAATGTCTTTTATTATTTTTATTAATAAATGTTTTGAGCATAACAGTCTGTCCTGAAATCCTCATGTCTCCAATTATAGAGAATTGCTCAAACTTATGGCGGCCCTACAGCAATAACTGAGAAATTCACAGTAGCTCACAGAGAAAATGCTGGCAATAATAACACTATTAAGGGAAGGAACTAGCCAGCAGGTAGATATTTTATATCATCTGTTGGTCAAACACAAAATGTTGTTTTCTGAAAAGAGCTGCGTTTTCTTCCATTTCAAACTGCCTTCAGGCATCTCTTCCTGCAAGAGCTCCAGCTCCTGCTGTGGAAATGCTCTGTCTTATGTATCTACAAATCTATTTCACGGAGATGGTGTTTGGATTGGCCATGGATTGTTTTGAACACAGAAGCTCAGAAGTGACATTTAGACAAATCCTAGAACTCATCTATGATAATGTATGTTTGCATGATTTCTATAACTGTGCATCAGGTATATTTCCCCCTGCTGCTGATCACATCTCTGTGAGTCAGTACCTTTGGCGTTCCAGTGGTCCCGGATGTATAGAGGACATAGAGAGGGTGGTTTGAGGGAACAGGAACACAGTCATGAGGTCGAGCTGTAGCCATCTCCTCCTCCCAGTCCAGACTCAACTCCGGACTCATTGACACTTTTTCCTAAAAACAAAAAAGAAAGGAGGGACGTAAACTAATTGTCCTTACAGTAAATGTTGTAATTAACTAGAAAAGTATTGTCATATTTCCATTACAATGTGCAAATCTTTACTTTTTATGTAAATCTAAATAATTGTATTATATTGTATCTTTCTATTGAACATTTGTACTTAAACTTCTTGTTTTTATATACATTTTATATAAACATTTTTGTATTTTATCTTTTATTTTCTAAAAAGGAGCAATGGCCATAATGTAAGGTATCAGTGGGTGGTCATACAGCGTGAGATAGCTGGCTGCATTTATGTTTTCAATATTTATTTGTCATCAGTTTGAGAAACAAAAACACAACCTTACCTTCTCCCTTCAAGTCTAATAGAAATGTATTTAAAATGATAGTTTATGTTAATTATGTTCCAACCAACGCCAGTACTTTGTAATCTCTTATATTCATCAACAAAGGTAATGTCAGGTCATAGAATAATGCTCCTTTCATCTCCAGTGGCTGACATCTTTCTCTTTTCAAATCTCTTTCATACTTCTTTTTATCATTCAAATCATCCTAAGAGGCTATAGAAAAGTCTGGGTCATTTCTTTCTTTGATTCTCAGAGAATGAGCTCAAGATACCATTCAATATTTCACATGGACTCCTGAGGCAGAGGACAGACAGCCCATGTAACCTCCAGCAGGCTGAAACGCACCCTTTTTATTCTCTTTAGTCAAAGCCATAGTAAAATGTGGCTGATTCAACTACACTTTCATGTTGGAAGCTGCGTTCACAAAAACAACAACCTCTCGCTCACTGCATGCAATAACTGATAAAGCAGCCGCGAACACCTTCAAAGTGGAGCTTCACACGATTTTAAGGGGATTCTTTTCCTTTGAAAACCATTTTCCACCATGTATATATCCCAAGAAAGATGCAACAGCGATCTCTTATTACACAAGACTGTTCACTGATAGATATCAGTGCTGTACACTAATCAGATCAAATACAATACAGCATGTACTGTTGTTTCATTTAAAAAGAAAGAGTCAGACAGAAGTACATTGCGTAACTGATGACTTCTGTAAATTGAGACAGAAAAACCGTTTGAGAGGAATGAGTATGCACTTTTTAAGAATCATTTATTTTCCTAGGCGTAATATCGAGTGTCTCTTTTATGCTTGTGTTTATGTGAAGCAAATGTCAGCTTGCTGTCACCATTTCCATGCATAATTGTGTGCTGTATAGTCATTATGTGCAACTCAGCCTGTTTCCAAACTGGATCTTTGCCAGGCTGTTTATGTCAGGTGGAAACCTCTATCGCAATTACACTATACGTTTTCTAACATCTACTTGTACTAGCTATACATTATTTCTTCCTTTTATACAGTGGCAGGATTCCAAAGTCTTACTACCATAGCATTGAATATAACGCTGCATATGTAATTACATGATTAAGTCTGTTTCAAATGTTAAAAAAATGGCAACCGCTTGCCTTTAGGAAAAACCCATCTCCCAACAGTACTTACAGGTTTACATATGGCTGCCGTATTTCAGATTCATTTATATCCTGTCACAAAAAACGACCCTATATTGACAAAGAAGATTTGTGTTGCTTAGTGCTTCTTACCATGTTCGGCCTGTTGTAGATGAGGACTTTAGAGGGTTTGTGAGAGCTAAGCTCCAGGGCCTTCTCCACCAGAGGGATGTACTCTACTCTTCTGCCTGGCTCGATGCCAAATGAGGCTGTGACCATCATCTTGGGCTGAGAAAAAGAGATTAAGGGTTAGTTCAATTGTGTTGAAATGTCACAAACTAACAGAATGGTTATATAAAGCTATACTAGAAGCAGGGCCTAGGGCTTTTCATCATATTTGCCTTGAATAATGGTTTTGTTGCATTTCTATCAGGATATTAGTGGAATTAATTTATTGCCATGCATAAGTGGACAGACCAGTCGAATAAACAAAACACAGAGCAGCTTTGATAACATAGCACACAGTGACTTCAGTCTCTGCTAAGGTAGACATTACTGCACTCAAATTTCACATAGCAATATTTGTTTGCTTTTATGTTTATGCTTTAAATATACATTTGAAACCTTTTCATAATACTGTATTGCTTCAAAAGTAGATTTGAATAAACATATCACATAACAAAGATCATCCTTTTCAGAAAGAGTCTTTTTCAAAATGTCAGATTAGTCCACTAATTAAATTGTTGGCTTGTTAAAAAATCTTATTGCAGACTGAATCAAAACTGTTCTTCATTGTTGGATTGAGAAAAGAAAAGGCAAAGCCAAGTGCTTTCCACTGTGAATGATTTATTTTGAGCCCACTAAAACAAAGAAGCCTCAGGCACCAACGGCTTTCAGTGTTACAGGTATTTTGCAGGGTGAATGGTGAGCATTTTTAAAATCACATAAAAAATGGGAATTGAAAACTATTACTTGCAGCCATGTAACTGTCCAGCTTCACATCAGCCTGTCCTCAGTTTTATTGAGAGGTCAAGGTACTAAAGAGTGACATTGAATTAATAGAAACCATGTAGTCTTTTTGCCATGGCTCATGAAAGGATACATTTTATGTGCAAGGTCAATATTAACGTTTTCTAACCTTGGCATGATCGATGCGGACAGAAAGCTCTTTGGAAGCAAAGCCGCCAAAGATAAGGCTGTGTGGCGCACCGATCCGGGCACAGGCCAACATGGTGAACATGGCCTCCGGCACCATGGGCATGTAGATGACCACCAGATCTCCTTTCCGTACACCATTCTTCACCAGGACTCCTGCTAACCTAGACACCTGGGTCAAGACACAGCACACAATGCAGAGAAATGAATATCAACATGTCATTTGGCTATTAGCACTTCACTGTTTAAATATCTTATATTATCTCCATTCATATAATTGTTCAGGACTACATAAACAATTAATGGTTAAACAAATATTGCTGATCTGGAATTCTTCCAAGAGTTTTTTGCATGATTTTTTAGGTTACAGTGATAAAAAAACGAGATTAAGTGCATTTAAGTGCATAATCTATTGCCTCCGGGTTTAAAACAATTCTCCAAAGTGTATTTTTGCCTGTATAAACCACATTTAAGTTCTATAATTGAGTTTTCATGGAACTGAAGCATCTCCCAAATGTCAATCAAGTTAATATCTCACTTTCTTCTCTTTTTGCAACATTTTATTTTGCTGTTCCTTATGCTAATGCTGGCACACAGCAAAAAGGCCTGACAAACTGTCTCAGTTAAAGGATTCAAAATGTATTTATGTCATTGTAACCCTGACAATCTCTAATTTCAGTGCTCACAATCCAATTAAGCTTACCTTTATATCTCACAATCCATTTTTACTACACATCCTGGCATTTTAAATCAGGCTTTAACTGTTTGAGTATTTGTATTTCCCTTTTACAAGTACTAAAAAGGTCAGCGTGATACATCTATTTAGGAGGTCATAATGATAACAGGATAGGAGGTTATGACATCAAAGCTTGAAATGTTAGTTTGAATGTTCATTTTCGAGGTGGTATAAAAAGGTTTTGGCATCTTATGTAACTAATAATACTAAATTACGTATGCCAGGGGGTAGGGAAAAGCAGAATATATCAGTGAGATATTTGTATAATGGAAAAGCCCTTGGTATTGTTGCTGTGTTGTTCTCCGTTTGACACAGTAATACAACTCAACATAGCAAAGTGACTACTCCAGCTCTTCAGGCTGTTCAGTTCTGTTTACCTGGTCCTGAAGTTCCCTGAAAGTGATGATCCGTTTAGTTCCAGTCACAGGGCTTTCATAAATGATGGCAGGCTGCTGTCCACGGCCACTCTCTACATGACGATCCACTGCATTGTAGCACATGTTTAACTTTCCTCCAACAAACCTGAAAGAGACACATATCATTAACCAACAACCATATTTGAAATATGAACAACCTTTATCCTTTAAAACATGTGTATATATCTTAAATACAATAAGCTGTTGTTTCTGGCCCAGTAGACAAAAAGCTGGAAGGTAAGGTTCTTTCATTTGACTTAGGAATTGATCATAACTTGATGAAGCTACTTCAAGCTAAAACATGTTCAGTTTGCCTTCACAAGCAGCAGTAAACAAATCAATACACTTGATAATATGACAGTTTCAATTCATTGTGGTGCTGTGCATGTGGATAAGAGGAGCAAGCAGGTTGAGCAGATGGTGTTTTAGAATCCAGGGAGATTCTTCATTTGAACATAGCAGCAACAGAATCACAGAGCTCTGTTTTTTTCTAACGTACTAGATAGTATAATTACCCAGCAAGTAAACATACAATGAACTTTTAATTGTCATTTTTGTACAACATTTATCCATCCATGGGAGTTGACATATTGAACCTCTCTGAAGAACCAGCACCTTACTGTGGTGGAGAGGTGTGTGTGCCCTGATGAACCTGGGGGCTGTGTTGTCTGGATGGAACCTTGTTTTCCTGGTAGGGTCTCCCATGGCAAATAGGTCTCAGGCAGGGGGCCAGACTAAGATTGGCTTGAAGACCTCATGAAAGACAAACTAAGAAGTGAGGATACCCGGCCCGGAGGAAGCCCGGGGTCCCCTTCTGGAGCCAGGCCTCAAGCCCCCCGGTTGGGTGTTTCTTTGTTGGAGCCCCCGTGGACGAGAGCCTAAGCCTGCGGGTTATGGTTGGGAAAACTCTGACTGTTGTGTGTGCTTATGCACCAAACAGCAGTTCAGAGTATTCGGCCTTCTTGGAGACCCTGGAAAGAGTCCTGTATGGGGCTCCGAAAGGGGACTCTTTAATCTTGCGTGGGTAACTTCAACGCACATGTGGGCAATGATGGAGACACTGGGAGGTCTGTGATGGGGAGAACGCCCCCTGATCTTGAACACCTGAGTGGGGTTTTTAGGACTTCTAGGCTAGGCACGGATTGGCTATAACCAAATACCATTGTATAAATTGTTAATAACCAAACCGCACTGCTATAATCACACTCTCGACCTGTCGATTATGTATTGAATTGAGCAACTATTAGTCAATACGCATAATCTGCTTTATCCGACCATTCTTTAGTAATTTTGAAGTAGCTGTTACTAGAACCACAAAGCATTAGCAAAGGCTCGCAGCAGAAACCGTTATCTGTTAGTGCTATGGCAAATTAAGAAGAGGATTCGCCACCAATACTTAACTCGATAGCATGGCGCAAATAAGCAAAAAACTCGACAACGGGAAAGAGATAGGAGTTCCACTAAACTTGAGAATCTCGTTTAATTTGGCATATTAGTCTGCAATGAATATAGAAGCCACTGGGGTTAAAGCGAGAGCAGCTACTACCGCTCTTCACTTAATAGAGAGAATAGATAATGCGCAGACAGAAATTTTGCTTTTCAGACTGTAGGCCAGGCGACAGAAAGGCCACAGCTCGATTGAGCCTTCCATATTCCCCAGTAGCACGTCAGTAGTAATGATTGTATGGTGCTTTTCTAACGATAAAATTGTTACTCTTAGAAACAAAAATTAATGACCTCTTGCCTTTGACCAGTATAGGTGTTTCAGCAGCTAGGTCTAGATATTACACTACGATAGTAAACTAGAGAGCTTTTCAGCCATAAACCCTTTGAACAATTAAATCAATGATTCTCTCTTCTAAACCCATCAACGTGTATCCTTAGACCGATGTCCAACGCGTTACTCTGTTAAAAGATTTTTCCGATTATTAGCACTGCTTTTATTAAATATTATGAATATGTTCTTTATTATCCGGCGTATGTCCAAATCATTCAAAGTAGCAGTGGATAAAACCGGCTTCTTAAAGAGAGCACAACCTCGATCCAGAGTTTTAGCCAAACAGCTAGACCTATCTGTCTAATCTTCGCCTCTCTCCTAAAACATTATTGTGAGGAAAGCAGAGCTGAGCAGGGCTCGAGTGTGGATTACTTGTATAACAACATATGGTTTTATTTGAAGATTTTCCGTCTGCTGTTTAAGAACACAGCATAGCGACAAAGGACAAGCTCTGGGCGGCGGAATGGTGTAAGTCACAATGAGATTCTAAATGAGCGCGGCGAGCGAGGGAGGCTTGTCTCGGGGATTATTGTTTGCCGGGATTCAGGGTGGCAGGGTTGATAAGTAGTCGACCGATGGAGAGCCTATTGCAAGACTAGAGCACGTGG